ATATAGTGAGTAAAGATCTACTGTGAGAGAAAAAATTTCACATACCAATGGTCAAATCTAGAGGAAAAATACATATTTACATATACAACCCATTAGAAATGAAAAAGAATAATTATGCAAAGAATTGTAATCATTCTTTTGTGATATCGTGATCAGTGAGCCACGAAACTTTGTTATCATCCATATTATTATCATTATATCTTTCACCTGGGCTGTAGAAGACTCGAACCAAGGCCCCCCCCACGTGTGTGGAGCAGATCGAGGATCTATCCACTCAGCCAATGAGTAGTCTTAATAATTTGATCTCAGGTGAATGAAATATCTATTACCAAGGAAGTGTGGTTAGCAATCTATTATTATTATTGTTAATTATTGTATTGTAGTGATTATCAGAGAGCCTCAGATGCTGATTAAATTGAAGCCTGCGGGATCAGACGCTCCTGTTACTGAGTTCTCCCTTGGTCCGTCAAGCCGTGTTCACTGTAATGAACCGGAGAACACCGCCCCTAGCGTCCATTATAACAGGGGAGAGAATGTTTAGAATGAGAGAATGTCTTGTGATGTTGAGAGGAGGGGAGAGAGAGAGAGAGATGGGAGAGATGCTCACTTAAGGAGTTGGTTGAATTATTAGTAAGTGGTGGTTGTGGTGTAGTAATTGTGGTGGTGTGGTTGTAGTGGTGGTGATGTAGTGATGTTATGGTGATGGTGTATTGTTGTGGTAGTGTAGTGGTGGTGATGTACAGGAGTTATGATGAAAGTGGTGGAGTGGTTGCGTTGTGGTGGTGGTGGTGCTGTTGTAGTGTTGGTGGTGGTACAGGTTGTAGTTCCATGGTGTTATTGTCTTCTTGATGGTAGTGAAAGTTGTGCTGTAGATGTTGTCATACTCTCCTAAGATCTGTGTTTACAGCTTATATGCGGTAAACAAACAAGGGAGAAACAAAACACCGCTATAAACAAATTGCAATCATTAAGAGAAAAAAAAAAAAAAAAAAAAAAAAACTCTGGCAGAACGGGTGATTGCTGAAGATAATCTGTTATGAAACACAGAAATCAGAGGGTTCGAACCCTCGTCACGGCCCTTGTGGATTTGTTCATAATCCGTTATGAATTCACGCAAAATTTATTTTGATCTATGTTCAAAACGCTACAATATGTATGGGTCACAATTAAAACAATTTTTTAAATGTATATAAAAACTTTTTAAATTTTTTAATTGTGATACACATTTGCATTGCTTGGCGTATACAACCGAATAATACGTCGTATTTTGACGTATGAAAACACCCAACGTATATATATATATATATATATATATATATATATATATATATATATATATATATATATATATATATATATATATATATATATATATATATATATATGCAGAATAACCACATATGAAAAATAGAAAATGCTTAACGCGTTTTCGGCTAATTCGCCTTCATCAGAGCAAAGTAGATTCTACTTTGCTCTGATGAAGGCGAATTAGCCGAAAACGCGTTAAGCATTTTCTATTTTTCATATGTGGTTATTCTGCATACTTGGATCAGTGTTTTTGTGATCATTGTTGCATATATATATATATATATATATATATATATATATATATATATATATATATATATATATATATATATATATATATATATATAATCAGCTCGTTAAAATGATGGGCTCTGGCGTTTTCTATCTGTGTCTCTTTGGTTAGGTTAGGTTAGGGCAATTTAGTACATCATTTTTGTGACGTTGTGACAACGTGAGAAAACGGGCCTGTTTGCACGAGGGAATTTTTTTTTAGACAAACCAACAAATATGAAATATCAGTGTTAAAAAAATATTTGGAACAAGCAAATTGTTTACAAATTATATGAGAAATCTAATAGAATACGTTCTCTAAATTAAGGCATGTAATTATTTTTTTTTAATAATTGAGCGACAAATTGGACTTTCTTGGTATTAATATTTTCGTGAGAAGCTAATTAGTTTTGGCAAGACGGGGACTTTCCACCTGCTCAAGACTCTCAATAACACCTTCTCTCTCTCTTGGATATGTAGGTTATACATAGCTACCGTCTTGGATATGTGGAATACATACATACCTTCCTTCCTTGGATATGTGGCTACATACATACATACCTTCCTTAGATATGTGGACTATATTGATTGATGCCTAAAAACAGAAAATCCAATTCATGTATCAATATGTAATCCAATATATATATACCTAAATATATACCAATATGCATACCAATATATATATAAAATACTCACTATTTTCACTGATATCATCAGCGTTCTATCTTCCAATTTCTTTCACGATAATACCGAAATAAAATGCGAATTTCTGAGAATAAATTCCTGGAATATAAGTAATGAAACTTCTCAATATTAAGGGAAACGTTGAAGGTGATTATCGTACCTCACAACACTGCATCAAGTGGAGATTATCGTACCTCACAACACTGCATCAAGTGGTGATTATCGTACCTCACAACACTGCATCAAGTGGAGATTATCGTACCTCACAACACTGCATCAAGTGGAGATTATCGTACCTCACAACACTGCATCAAGTGGAGATTATCGTACCTCATAACACTGCATCAAGTGGAGATTATCGTACCTCACAACACTGCATCAAGTGGAGATTATCGTACCTCACAACACTGCATCAAGTGGAGATTATCGTACCTCACAACACTGCATCAAATGGTGATTATCGTACCTCACAACACTGCTTCAAGTGGTGATTATCGTACCTCACAACACTGCATCAAGTGGTGATTATCGTACCTCACAACACTGCTTCAAGTGGTGATTATCGTACCTCACAACACTGCATCAAGTGGTGATTATCGTACCTCACAACACTGCATCAAGTGGTGATTATCGTACCTCACAACACTGCATCAAGTGGAGATTATCGTACCTCACAACACTGCATCAAGTGGAGATTATCGTACCTCACAACACTGCATCAAGTGGAGATTATCGTACCTCACAACACTGCATCAAATGGTGATTATCGTACCTCACAACACTGCTTCAAGTGGTGATTATCGTACCTCACAACACTGCTTCAAGTGGTGATTATCGTACCTCACAACACTGCTTCAAGTGGTGATTATCGTACCTCACAACACTGCTTCAAGTGGTGATTATCGTACCTCACAACACTGCTTCAAGTGATGATTATCGTACCTCACAACACTGCTTCAAGTGATGATTATCGTACCTCACAACACTGCTTCAAGTGGTGATTATCGTACCTCACAACACTGCATCAAATGGTGATTACCGTACCTTAAAATATTAAAGTTGTCGTACCTCACAGCGTCGTTAAATCATTATGTAGTACAACTTTATAACATAAGAATGCGCCATTAAAGACACCACTGTTATTAGTGGCCTCGACGAGGATAGGAAGCCGGCGGCTTGTCGAATGTTCACCCCCAAATGCATGCGAGGCAACTTCTATTTACATCCACCCCAAACTCATTCATATAAGTGTCTAACCTTCGCTTGAAACAAACCCCAGCGATTCCAGGGGAGTTACTCGGTAATTTGTTCTATTAGAAAGGCAGGGTCTAGAGCTGAAGCTCGATCTAGGGTATCACATTCACTTGAGAATTCCCTCTATAGTCGCTCAAACAACCATCTCTTAATTGGATAGTCATCCAACTGCCTAAGAGTCTCTAGATAGCCAACCCAGCTGTCTAGAATTTCATGACTAGATAGCCACCAACTGGGTAATCTCTCACGACTTGATAGCCACCAACTGGGTTGTCTCTCACGACTAGATAGCCACCAACTGGGTAATCTCTCACGGCTAGATAGCCACTAACTGGGTAATCTCTCACGACTAGATAGCCACCAACTGGGTAATCTCTCACGACTAGATAGCCACCAACTGGGTAATCTCTCACGGGTAGATAGCCACCAACTGGGTAATCTCTCACGACTAGATAGCCACCAACTGGGTAATCTCTCACAACTAGATAGCCACCAACTGGGTAATCTCTCACGACTAGATAGCCACCAACTGGGTAATCTCTCACGACTAGATAGCCACCAACTGGGTAATCTCTCACGGGTAGATAGCCACCAACTGGGTAATCTCTCACGACTAGATAGCCACCAACTGGGTAATCTCTCACGACTTGATAGCCACCAACTGGGTTGTCTCTCACGACTAGATAGCCACCAACTGGGTAATCTCTCACGGGTAGATAGCCACCAACTGGGTAATCTCTCACGACTAGATAGCCACCAACTGGGTAATCTCTCACGGGTAGATAGCCTTAGCTTTTCCATTCGCCAAATGAACCTAGTTTGCGGTGTGTGGGGCGGAGAAATTCCAGGTATGTGTGATAATTGAATTACTCAGAATAACAGGTAAAATGCGCCTCCTGGTCCGAGATCCAATATATTTGTTGTCGTTGACGAAATAGGTCTGGTTCGTTGCCATGGCTAGTAACGCAGGTCTGGTTCGTTGCCATAGCTAGCAACGTAGGTCCTGTTCGCTGCCATGGCTAGTAACGTATAGGTCTGGTTCGTTGCCATAGCTAGCAACGTAGGTCCTGTTCGTTGCCATGGCTAGTAACGCAGGTCTGGTTCGTTGCCATAGCTAGCAACGTAGGTCCTGTTCGCTGCCATGGCTAGTAACGTATAGGTCTGGTTCGTTGCCATAGCTAGCAACGTAGGTCCTGTTCGTTGCCATGGCTAGTAACGCAGGTCCTGTTCGTTGCCATGGCTAGTAACGTAGGTCTGGTTCGTTGCCATAGCTAGCAACGTAGGTCCTGTTCGTTGCCATGGCTAGTAACGCAGGTCCTGTTCGTTGCCATGGCTAGTAACGCAGGTCCTGTTCGTTGCCATGGCTAGTAACGTAGGTCTGGTTCGTTGCCATAGCTAGCAACGTAGGTCCTGTTCGTTGCCATGGCTAGCAACGTAGGTCCTGTTCGTTGCCATGGCTAGTAACGTAGGTCCTGTTCGTTGCCATGGCTAGCAACGTAGGTCCTGTTCGTTGCCATGGCAAGTAACGTATAGGTCTGGGTCATTGCCATCACTGACAGCAAACAATTTGACACTTGAATGAAGATTGAGTACAAAATTTTGACGACGTTCCATTTGCCAGGCCAGCAACCGAGATTACTGAATACGCCATTGGCGTGCAGGGAAGGTTGCCACAGCATTTATAGCACAACGTTAAATAAAAAAAAAAAAAAAAATAATCATATTAATAAAACAATTTTGTAAGCAATTTTGTCGGTGTGGTCTAGCTTGTATAACCAAGATGCGGCCTAGTATGATATAACCCCCCCCCCCCTTGGTGTGGCTTAGCCTATAAGTGGAATTTTAAATATCCAGGGTTATATATATCCAATTTTATATAGCTAGTGTTAGGACCCAAGCGGCAATGGGGTGGTATTAGACATTATAGCGAGATAGCCAGGCATCCATGGATACCTGATACCATGGATATCTTATCAACCAGGCTGTGACTCATACGTCAGGCTGCGAGCAGCCGCGTCTAACAGCCTGGTTGATCAGTCCAGCAACCAGGAGGCCTGGTCGACGACCGGGCCGCGGGGACACTAAGCCCCGGAAGCACCTCAAGGTAACCTCAAGCTATGCATGTTCCTACTCCTAAACTGAATGGTCTAGTCTCGTGCCTGTTTTGGTAAACACCGTTCACATGCCAGTGAAAAGGGGCCGGTGTTGCTGTTCTGGAGAGGCTGAAGGGGTCATGGAATACTCGATTAGGGTCTAGCAGAGGTCCTCTTCCTTCCTACTGGGACCCTAAGAGCCTGGGACCCCTGGGTTCAATGCTAAGTCACTGGAACAGCAAGGAACGGAAACCCACAGCGATATTTGTGTACTTTTCTCACGGTACTTTTTTCTTTTTCTCACGGTACTTTTTCTTGTGTACTTTTCTCATGCGTTAGTTAGTTGCAAAGTTTGTTTATATAATTCCTATAACAATTTACAGGTAAACGTGTTATAATGCGATTGGCTGGAATCTGACCAATCAACGTTCAAACTTACCCATATCTTGAGATTATCTTGAGATGATTTCGGGGCTTTAGTGTCCCCGCGACTCGGTCCTCGACCAGGCCTCCACCCCCAGGAAGCAGCCCGTGACAGCTGACTAACACCCAGGTACCTATTTTACTGCTAGGTAACAGGGGCATAGGGTGAGAAAGAAACTCTGCCCATTGTTTCTCGCCGGCGCCCGGGATCGAACCCGAGACCACAGGATTACAAGTCCAGTGTGCTGTCCGCTCGGCCGACCGGCTCCCATAACTCATAAATCTTTATCTAAAAGCCGAAAACCTTATCAATACATGATAGAATATTTATAATGAATAGTTGATAAAATTTTACTATTAATTTACCCAAGAAAACACTCATAATACTGAACAAGAAATCATTATAGTTCATGTAATTGGCTTGAGGACCATTCAAGCTTGACGCCCTTTATACAATGTATAACAAGAATGAAAAGGATATTATATGAGGCTCAAAGCAACACAGTTTCCACGGAAGGATTAAATAAATCTATACATATGAATATTCAGCATGACAGCTATAATGACGATACTATGTATAGTTACAAATGTATAGTATAGTTTATGTATAGTTTATGTATAGTTTTCTCTTCAGTATCTATGGCAACAAGGATGAAATTATAGACACGAAATGTAAAACTGTGAAGAGAGCGGCTCCATACGGAAAAAATAGATAAAAAGAGATAGATAGATAGATAGAGAGAATGAGTATGCAGGAGAGGTAGAAGCCTAAAACTAGAAAAAAAATAGCTGCTAATAGAGACGTAAAGAACAATAATACATCCTTTTCACCTGTTCTAATGTTCCTCACCCACGCGGAGTCGCCTACTTTGCTAGTTGAAGAAAATTATTTTTCCTTACCCTGCTAACGCGAGTCAGCTATTAGCCTCGCAGGTCTGTAAACACCAACCAACGCTATATATCTTTATTATACCTTGACTAATTTGACACGAGGGAGGCTCCTCGTTATTATTTTTCGGTTAACGAACTCTGGGAAGAGTATCATCTTAAAGGGAGCAACGCCAGACAGCCTTTGCATCGTAAAAAAGGAATTTTCGCTGTCACGTTTTTTTGTCATTAGGCAAGCCTGTTATATTGTTCTAATTGAACATATATGTTACTGGATGCAAAATGGTTATTATTGTTGTTCTAGCATGATTGTTATCATGCTGGAATAAATTATTTTGTTCTTATTTGTTTAGAAATTAAGGTAGAACAATTTTTTCGTATTTTGACCAGACCACACACTAGAAATTGAAGGGACGACGACGTTTCGGTCCGTCCTGGACCATTCTCAAGTCGATTGTGATGAGGACAGTCGACTGACAATCGACTTGAGAATGGTCCAGGACGAACCGAAACGTCGTCGTCCCTTCAATTTCTAGTGTGTGGTCTGGTCAACACACTAGAAATTGAAGGGACGACGACGTTTCGGTCCGTCCTGGACCATTCTCAAGTCGATTGTGATGAGGACAGTCGACTGACAATCGACTTGAGAATGGTCCAGGACGAACCGAAACGTCGTCGTCCCTTCAATTTCTAGTGTGTGGTCTGGTCAACACACTAGAAATTGAAGGGACGACGACGTTTCGGTCCGTCCTGGACCATTCTCAAGTCGATTGTGATGAGGACAGTCGACTGACAATCGACTTGAGAATGGTCCAGGATGAACCGAAACGTCGTCGTCCCTTCAATTTCTAGTGTGTGGTCTGGTCAACATACTTCAGCCCCGTTATTGTGACTCATCGCCTGCAACTTTTCGTAGTTCATTTTATAATTTTAATGGAGTTAATTCTGGCTAGGTTTTTCTAGTTGATAAACTTAGATGATATCTAAGTTTAGGTTGGCTGTTGATAACTGAATGAGTGTTTGATATGTAGTGCTTCGGCTATCTAATCTCATATTGTCGTTATCTTGCATTTGTTGTCGTTATCGAGCCGTGTCGTTGTTTAAGCGGAGCTGCTTAGATGGAAATATAGCGTTTGATAATAATATGGAGATGAGAATAGTTACCTCAAGTAGTTACTTGAGTTACTTGAGTAGTTACTTGAAGCTCTGGCTTGATGATTACACTAGAGTTGAGAGCCTTTGTCTTATGGGTGCTTCTGCGTTCCTGCTGACACACGAGAGTGACGATGGAGAGTGCTGTGATACAGGAAGTTCTATGTGGAGCGCGTAGTCAAGCAATTAGCCGCTGAATCAATCACGGTGCTCTAATTAGCACTATAGAGGCGAGGGGAATCATCTCTCTCTCTCTCTCTGGCTCTCTCGCTCTCTCTCGCCTTCTCTCTCTCTCTCTGGCTCTCTCGCTCTCTCTCTCCTCTCTCTCTCTCTCTCTCTCTCCTTCTCTCTCTCTCTCTCTCTCTCTCTCTCTCTCTCTCTCTCTCTCTCTCTCTCTCTCTCTCTCTCTCTCTCTCTCTCTCTCTCTCTCTCTCTCTCTCTCTCTCTCTCTCTCTCTCTCTCTCTCTCTCTCTCTCTCTCTCTCTCTCTCTCTCTCTCTCTCTCTCTCTCTCTCTCTCTCTCTCTCTCTCTCTCTCTCTCTCTCTGTCTCTCTGTCTCTCTCTCTCTCTCTCTCTCTCTCTCTCTCTCTCTCTCTCTCTCTCTCTCTCTCTCTCTCTCTCTCTCTCTCTCTCTCTCTCTCTCTCTCTCACGGTCGCCCAAATACAGTAATTTTTTCCCCCAGTGGCAGGGAAATCTCTCTTCTACACACGGTGGTTGGGTCATTATTCTTCAAGGAAATGTGGAGCAGCCAAGGTCCACTCTTTGCTTAGTAACTCAAGTCGCCGGGCGAAAAAGAGACTATATTTCAGTAATGTTTTGACTCGTTGAGTCCTCTTCTCGCCTCGCTGACTCCCTCATCAGTCAAGTGACTGACTGTACTTAAGTGCCTTTTGAGTTCTATGAGTTCCTATAGATCCAATATACTTGTTTTGGGTCAAGAGTTCGTAGACCAAGACCCACCTATGACTGTTCCCCACCAACCACCAGTCATCCTTCAAAATTTGGTGTGGCTAGCGACAAGCGTCTGGCCTCATACCCTGAAAATATTAAAAGATAAACAGTCGTTTTCTTTTCTAGATATAGATAGTAGTTTAAGTACATTGTTATGTGGGTAGAATGCTCTTAGTATTCATAGACTTTGGTGATATTAAAAAGATTGCAATGCAAGTTATTGAAGAAATTTAAATAGATTTTTACTTTTTTTTAGTCATGTTAGCTGTGGGTGGAATTGCAAATTCTTTTTTTATGCTTTTTTGATGTTGTACAATCGATTGGTTTATTTGTTTTTGTTGATAGTGATTGAGTTGCTTTTGTTGATTTTGTTGCATATTAAGTTTTAATTATACGTTCGTTTAATTATACGTTCGTTGTTGCTATTTTTGGTAATAATTTTTGTTGTTATTTTGAATGTCGCTGCTCATGTAATAGCGGAAATGGTGGTGGTGGTGGTGGTGGTGGTGGTGGTGGAGACGGTAGTGGTGGGGGTGGTGGTGGTGGTGGTGGTGGTAGTGGTGGTGGTGGTGGTGGTGGTGGTGGTGGTGGTGGTGGTGGTGGTGGTGGTGGTGGTGGAGACGGTAGTGGTGGGGGTGGTGGTAGTGGTGGTGGTGGTGGTAGTGGTGGTGGTGGTGGTGGTGGCAGTATGGTGGTGATAGAGGCGATGTTGGTGGTGGTAGTAATGGTGGTGATTACGATTGGGACAGCAACGACTGGTAATAGTGGTTGAATAGGGTTTATGCTAATGGTCGATGGTAATTTAAACATTTGACCTAAAAGCAATTACCCTTTGACCTGCTCTTATTACCGAGAGATTCCCCCCCCCCACCCCCCACCCCCTATCTGTGATTACATTTGATTGTTCAACCCAAACAGACGAAAATATGGTTGAGGTCGTATAATCCAGATTATACAACACCTGGTTGTATAATCCAGCGAGCTCTTGACTGATTTTCAATAATAGATCCAATTT